CGAGTGGAGAACAGTAGGCGAGACTAGGATACAGCAGCTGGGGTGTGTGATTGCGGGTGGTTTAATTGCTCAGTTGTGATAGAGGTTTGTTTTGTGTTCCTGAGACCAAGATATAAAACGAATGGATGCTTAGTTCAAGAGAAAATTGATTTTTTTGATATTGAACCCCCGCTGGGCTCCTTGACGTCAACAAGTAATCTTTCATTCATGTCTATAGATGACGATGTTGAACGACCGGCGGTCTAAGCGACGATCACCGTCGTTCTATGCTGTGTCTACCCCAACTAACATACCATGTTAACGAGTGTATCATTTGCACTAAAGCGTCGACTAAAACGATGATGAACTGCGGCAGACTTTGATGACGTTCCACGTATGTATATCTCGTGACTACCTGTCTGTTTTACGTACATCCAAGTAAACAATAGGCGAACCAAAAATGCTGGCAACGTTCTGTCCCCGGCGGCATAAATATTAAATGGACATTGGTTTCACATCCAAGACTGTAAAACCCCACTGACGAGATCAATGGCGGTTCCGAAGAGTGTAATCTACCTTCCTTCTAGAAAAACGCTAAACAATTCCAGTGGATGTTGTATAGGTCTTGACAATCAATATTGCCCCCTACAATTTTGTCAATATTAACAATCAATTCATTTCTTCCAATCCCTGATTTTACAGTGAGGCTTTCGAGAGTCGGAACGTGGAAACAAAATCATTGTCAAATTTGAGCGAGCCTTTTTCGCCGATGCCAGACTGGATTGGATGACAGTAGTGGGAGCGACAACAAAACTCTGTACACATGTTAGCAAAGCGGCTGGAATAACACCGCGTCGCTAGAGGCAAGAGGCCAATCCGAGTGGAGAACAGTAGGCGAGACAAGGATACAGCAGCTGGGGTGTGTGATTGCGGGTGGTTTAATTGCTCAGTTGTGATAGAGGTTTGTTTTGTGTTCCTGAGACCAAGATATAAAACGAATGGATGCTTAGTTACAGAGAAATGAATATTTGATATTGAACCCCGCTGGGCTCCTTGACGTCAACAAGTAATCTACATTCATGTCTATAGATGATGATGTTGAACGACCGGCGTTCTAAGAGACGATCACCGTCGTACTATGCTGTGTCTACCCCAACTAACATACCATGTTAACAAGTGTATCATTTGCACTAAAGCGTCGACTAAAACGATGATGAGCTGCGGCAGCATTTAATGAAGTTCCACGTATGTATATCGCGTGACTACCTGTCTGTTTTACGTACATTCAAGTAAACAATAGACGAACCAAAAATGCTGGCAACGTTCTGTCCTCGGCGGCATAAATAGTAAATACCCGTCTGTTTTCCATACATCCAAGTAAACAATAAACGAACCCCAACTGACGGAAAGGTTCAATGCCCGGCTTCAGAAAGAGTGCAGTCTACCTTGCTTTCAAAACCAATGCTAAACAATTCCAGTGGATGTTGTAAATAGGGGTTCTTGAACAATCAATATTGCCCCCTACAGTTTTGTCAAACTATTAACAATTCCAGTGGATGTTGTATAGGTCTTGACAATCAATATTGCCCCCTACAATTTTGTCAATATTAACAATCAATTCATTTCTTCCAATCCCTGAGTTTACAGTGAGGCTTTCGAGAGTGGGAACGTGGAAACAAAATCATTGTCAAATTTGAGCGAGCCTTTTTCGCCGATGCCAGACTGGATTGGATGACAGTATGGGAGCGACAACAAAACTCTGTACACATGTTAGCAAAGCGGCTGGAATAACACCGCGTCGCTAGAGGCAAGAGGCCAATCCGAGTGGAGAACAGTAGGCGAGACAAGGATACAGCAGCTGGGGTGTGTGATTGCGGGTGGTTTAATTGCTCAGTTGTGATAGAGGTTTGTTTTGTGTTCCTGAGGCCAAGATATAAAATGAATGGATGCTTAGTTACAGAGAAATGAATATTTGATATTGAACCCCGCTGGGCTCCTTGACGTCAACAAGTAATCTACATTCATGTCTATAGATGACGATGTTGAACGACCGGCGGTCTAAGAGACGATCACCGTCGTACTATGCTGTGTCTACCCCAACTAACATACCATGTTAACAAGTGTATCATTTGCACTAAAGCGTCGACTAAAACGATGATGAACTGCGGCAGAATTTAATGACGTTCCACGTATGTATATCTCGTGACTACCTGTCTGTTTTACGTACATCCAAGTAAGCAATAGACGAACCAAAATGCTGGCAACGTTCTGTCCCCGGCGGCATAAATATTAAATGGACATTGGTTTCACATCCAAGACTGTAAAACCCCACTGACGAGATCAATGGCGGTTCCGAAGAGTGTAATCTACCTTCCTTAGAAAAATGCTAAACAATTCCAGTGGATGTTGTATAGGTCTTGACAATCAATATTGCCCCCTACAATTTTGTCAATATTAACAATCAATTCATTTCTTCCAATCCCTGATTTTACAGTGAGGATTTCGAGAGTGGGAACGTGGAAACAAAATCATTGTCAAATTTGAGCGAGCCTTTTTCGCCGATGCCAGACTGGATTGGATGACAGTAGTGGGAGCGACAACAAAACGCTGTACACATGTTAGCAAAGCGGCTGGAATAACACCGCGTCGCTAGAGACAAGAGGCCAATCCGAGTGGAGAACAGTAGGCGAGACAAAAATACAGCAGCTGGGGTGTGTGATTGCGGGTGGTTTAATTGCTCAGTTGTGATAGAGGTTTGTTTTGTGTTCCTGAGACCAAGATATAAAACGAATGGATGCTTAGTTACAGAGAAATGAATATTGATATTGAATCTCGCTGGGCTCCTTGACGTCAACAAGTAATCTACATTCATGTCTATAGATGATGATGTTGAACGACCGGCGGTCTAAGAGACGATCACCGTCGTACTATGCTGTGTCTACCCCAACTAACATACCGTGTTTAACAAGTGTATCATTTGCACTAAAGCGTCGACTAAAACGATGATGACCTGCGGCAGCATTTATTGACGTCCCACGTATGTATATCGCGTGACTACCTGTCTGTTTTACGTACATCCAAGTAAACAATAGACGAACCAAAAATGCTGGCAACGTCCTGTCCCCGGTGGCATAAATATTAAATGGACATTGGTTTCACATCCAAGACTGTAAAACCCCACTGACGAGATCAATGGCGGTTCAGAAGAGTGCAGTCTACTTTCTTTAGAAAAATGCTAAACAATTCCAGTGGATGTTGTATAGGTCTTGACAATCAATATTGCCCCCTACAATTTTGTCAATATTAACAATCAATTCATTTCTTCCAATCCCTGAGTTTACAGTGAGGATTTCGAGAGTGGGAACGTGGAAACAAAATCATTGTCAAATTTGAGCGAGCCTTTTTCGCCGATGCCAGACTGGATTGGATGACAGTAGTGGGAGCGACAACAAAACGCTGTACACATGTTATCAAAGCGGCTGGAATAACACCGCGTCGCTAGAGACAAGAGGCCAATCCGAGTGGAGAACCGTAGGCGAGACAAGAATACAGCAGCTGGGGTGTGTGATTGCGGGTGGTTTAATTGCTCAGTTGTGATAGAGGTTTGTTTTGTGCTCCTGAGACCAAGATATAAAACGAATGGATGCTTAGTTACAGAGAAATGAATATTTGATATTGAACCCCGCTGGGCTCCTTGACGTCAACAAGTAATCTTCATTCATGTCTATAGATGACGATGTTGAACGACCGGCGGTCTAAGAGACGATCACCGTCGTACTATGCTGTGTCTACCCCAACTAACATACCATGTTAACAAGTGTATCATTTGCACTAAAGCGTCGACTAAAACGATGATGAACTGCGGCAGCATTTAATGACGTTCCACGTATGTATATCTCGTGACTACCTGTCTGTTTTACGTACATCCAGTAAGCATAGACGAACCAAAATGCTGGGAACGTTCTGTCCCCGCCGCCATAAATATTTAAATGGACCATTGGTTCCCATCCAAAACTGTAAAACCCCACTGACGAGGTCAATGGCGGTTCAGAAGAGTGCAGTCATACCTTCCTTCTAGAAAAATGCTAAACAATTCCAGTGGATGCTGTATAGGTCTTGACAATCAATATTGCCCCCTACGATTTTGTCAATATTAACAATCTTCCAATTCCTGAGTTTACAGTGAGGCTTATGAGAGTGGGGGGAACGTGAAAACAATATCATTGTCAAATTTGAGCGAGCCTTTCTCGCCGATGCCAGACTGGATTGGATGACAGTAGTGAGAGCGACAACAAAACGCTGTACACATGTTAGCGAAGCGGCTGGAATAGCACCGCGTCGCTAGAGACAAGAGGCCAATCCGAGTGGAGAACAGTAGGCGAAACAAGGATACAGCAGCTGGGGTGTGTGATTGCGGGTGGTATAATTGCTTAGTTGTGATAGAGGTATGTTTTGTGTTCCCGGAGACCAAGATATAAAACGAATGGATGCTTAGTTACAGAGAAATGAATATTTGATATTGAATCCCGCTGGGCTCTAATCAGCTTCTCGTATCAAATCTAGGAGATCGTGGCGCTTTTGAGGGGATAGCAATATTTGTGACGGAGAATTGGAAGTTTGCGATGCTGAGTACTGGAAGTAAGCTGCATTAATTTCCAGCTGACCAAGATTTGCGATTTACGTCGGTAAGAACAATCACCTTCAATTATTGAATAATGGACAGGTCGTGGGCCGATTAGGAGATTGCATTCGCGATACTTCTTGCGAGCGGTACGTGGGAGCGCGGATGGTATTACGTTTATCGCGAATACTCGAGTTGTTCAATGATACTATCAGGTCAAATCCGTATTGTTAGTGTTAGCGACGCCGAACGTCTTGAATGTCCAGCAATCTCAACGGCGAGCACGCTAGCGAAATGAATGAGCCTCGGTGCTCTGCTAGGAAAGGCGGTTTCCGCCGCCCTGCAGATAATGAGTATCGTATTGCGGGCTGGTATCTAAGCTCTGACTAGCCTTAAAATATTAGGTCGTGTGGATTGAACAGGAAAACCAGCTTGTAGTTAGGAAAGCCTTGAGTCCCCAGAAGCGTCTGTTGGTCTCCTCGGCACCTTCCAAGCTCCCAACAGCCTTCTCCGTCTTCACCGCAACCTGAAGCACATGATCATCACGAGGGCCGTTCCCTAATGGCCCCGCCTCGACGACAATAGGGGCGACTCCTTCCTTCTTGTCACGAGTCAGCATCTCGCAGCGCTCAGGCATATTAATGTTGCAGAAAAGGCTTCGTCAGACGTTACGCATGAGCTATGGTGCCACGCCAGTAGCCGCGTGGGCACAATACTACTAGGCGATAATAATTCGGCAAGTTTCTTGATGTTTTACTACATTCTGTGTGATCTCACGGGCTCAAAAATTCTTGCTAGGGCTCTGGGGCTTGTTTATTATATGAACCATTGAAAAGCAAACCTGTATATAATCCGGACGGCCACCTTGATTCCGCAAAACGCGCACGCAGTCGAAGCTGAAATGATTTGGAATACCTTTTTAGGCGTGTCGGTACCGTTTATCAGCAGCACCGATAGCTCCATGCCATGAACCCAATTGACTGCATCGGCAAACATTTGAAGTTGATGGATGTGCTGGGCTTTCTCACAATTTTAATGGGGACTCCGGTTATTCGTCAAGTAGGTTCAAGAGTAATTTCCTCTCTTTTTGGGAACCCAGTGAAGTCCGATCGAGGACAATTTTATGTCAAGGAAATGCAGCAGCCATTCTACAAGTTCAAACATTACTGAGTGGTGCTATCGGTAAAGAAGACTGGTAATTGCATTCTACGGAGACAGCAGCATTTTTTCGAGTGTATGCTCTATGATACGAAGTATTTTGAATGAAGTTCATCCCCGAGGTAAGCTAACACTCGGCGACCCAAATATCTTCGCTGTGCCAGCGGATAGCTGTGTGCGAAGACAGATCGTCGATTGTTGGCGGAATGATAAGGACTGACAGATTAAATGATCCGATAGTTCAGCGGCTCAGGGGACTGGTCACATCATACACTGTACTTTGCTGCTGTAAATTAATAGGTGTGAACAGATGGTCGATCTCGCGTCCTCATTTTTTTTCAGCGGGGGAATGTTGTGCTGTTTTTTAGAGCCTTGGCAGCGACGAACCAGTAGCTTTCAACCCTGTGGCCTCTGAAACTATCGCTGCAAGGAGTTAAATATTTGCGGCGGAATCTGTTATGCTGTATCTTCTTGTGAGCTTAAGCGCGGCAACTAGGAGTCTTAAAACGTATTGTGCATCGAAGAGCCTAGCAAACAAGCAGCAGTTCTGGCCGAAATGGAAACATTTCACCTAATTATGTGGGAAATTCCCACTAACAATCTTATAAAACATATATTGGCGATACGATGACGACACTTTATTGAATTGGCGCTCAGTGACAGCTTAAACATTCTAACCGTAAAGCAGAGTGTATTGTAGAGGACTTTTCCGTCGACATACACCATGAATCGTTTGATCTCCATCAATATCTAGTCGCGGAAGTGGCGAAGTCTGCAGCAAACCATCGTGTTGCTCTGAAGAAGAGCTCATTGTGGGATACTTCGTTCCTTGACAAATGTCCGCGAGCCCGTGTAATTTGTTTTGATCGCGCAAATTTTGTGGCATCCTGAGACAGCTTGCGAAGACATTGATAGCCTCTCTCAGCGTGTTTTGCTTTGCATTTGCTCGATATTCACAATCCGTTGGAAGATTGAATAACGGATGCGAGAAAATTATTGATCTACTCAATAATGCCTACCTTTCTTTGAGCTGCCTCGATACACTGACAATGTTGTTTCGGAGAGCACACGCGATATCTCGATCCCTGATACTAATCGCGTGGTCTCTATGGCTTTGTGAGAGAGTTGCCAGCTGGCACATATTGGTAAGCTGCAATCGAAAAATGAAGAGACTGAAGTCCTTGGTGCTCTCGCTGCCACTTGTGCACTCCATCTTGCTAATAGCTCAGTAGGAGTCGTGAGTGGGATAGCAGAGAGCTTTAAAAGGCATTAAGTTATTGCTATTGGAAGATGCCATCTCAGCGAATCCGACCAAAGCAGTTACAGGCATTGTATCGGACGTTTCAGCGTGAAAGATCCCTAGGCGATACCTTAAACGGTTTTGAGGTCTACGGAAAATATTCCAGCAATCGACTAAGGATACAGAGAGAATCACATTATCGTCGGCTTCAAGCACACATCAGACAATCATTTCAAGAATACTTTAAAGTAGAGAAACGGACGCACAACAAGAGCAGTAATATTGATGTGCTAGTGAGGTGCTGCTGCGGCCTGTTTTTTTGCAGATTATGTCGGTTCTGGCGAATGTGGTAGTAACCAACAATGAGAGCTCTCTGCATGCTCTCAGTACGCCCGAGTGAGAATCGAAAGAAAAAGTGGGTGATACTGCCGAGACCTTATCACCGACACTCTTTAAATCTGACGCGACTTCACCTCCTACAACTAAAAACGTATCGATATCTGAGAGGTAAATGTCTCGAGGCGAAGTGTTCTGTGACGGGTCGCCACACAGCACCGTACGTTGAGGAAGCGCGCTGTTGGGGCATACAAACACTAAGTGAACATCAGAGAGTGATGTAATGGGCTCTCCCAAGTTACATATGTAGGTAGTTTTATAGGTTCTTTGTAGTGCTTCACACCATTACATAAGTAGGTAGATTTGCATTACAAAAGTAGGTGCAGCAGCACACGAGTAGCGTGTGCTGAACTGCCGTCACCTTATTGGTTAAAATATGGGGAGCCAGACCCATAATCAACCAATAAGGCGTTGACGTGTATTTGAGTGGTCAGGGCAAGCTGCCCTGGACCTAAATAAAAACAGAGTTGATTTTCCTTCAGACTAAGTACTTGGTTTCAGTATCACTGGACTTGTACGCTTCCTCATCACTACGTGTAAGCAAGTAACGGACACCCCAGGCCCGTTACACCTGGTAGCACTTTGTAGTCCTTCCCATGACCAAGTTCACGATGAGCCAAGGCATGACGTCTGAAACGCCAGGGCCGACCCTGGAACATGCTGCTTTCCCTCATCTCACTCGTGTCGAGTGGGAAGCCCTTCACCGCCTCGCGGCGGTGTCTGGTGAGGCTGTAATCGCGTCGCTGCTAAGCTCAGCGACGTCCGACCAACAACGCGAAGCAGCCCAAGAGTTCATGGAACGCGAGCTAGCCGATGCGAATCGGCGAGCAACAACTCCCGCGCGTTCCTCGAAAAATGATGTCGTGAAGCTAGAGACGTCTACCTACTCCGGTGAAGGAGCGAATCGCCTCCCGCTGAACCGGTGGTTTCGCGAGGTCGACATCGCGATTGCTTCGAGAATGATCGAAGCGCAAGGGTCAAAGGTCAATTTCTTATTGTCCCGGTTGTCCGGGAAGGCCAAGGAATGGGCCCTCGGTAAACTTGTCGTTGATCACGACGCATTCCCCACTCTGGAGTCTCTCCAGAAAGATCTCAGGCTCGCGTTCGAGCCCCCTCAAGACGAGTCCCGCGTGCGTGCCGAGTTCTTCGCCCTTCGTCAAGGTAAAATGACTATGCGCGACTACGTTCAAAAGACTCGCCACCTCGCGTCATGCATCGTGACAAATCCGATTGACACAGCATCGCAGGTCCATGTATTCATATTCGGCATGCGTGAAGGCATGACACGGTACTGCCTGACCCGAGCGGAACCTTCCTCTCTCGAGGAAGCATTCGCCCTCGCATTACGCGAAGACTACGTAGTGGCGGCGTCTTATGCGCGCGCGATGTCTACGGCAGCTCGTG